AAAAAAAAAAACCATCTATTTTGGTCTTACTCAGGTTTTCTGGCACGTAACTCCTAAAACCCTTGAAATCAGCTGGGCACAGTGGTTTATGCCTGTAATCCCAGCACTTTGGGAGGCCAAGATGGGATGATCGATTGAGGTCAGGAGAGCAGTCTGGGCAACATAGTGAGACCCTGTCTCTACAAAAAACTTTTTTAATGAATATAATAAAAAAAACCTATCCTCTAGATTGTTCAGAGGATTAAATGGGCTGGCCTGTCATCCCAACACTTTGGGAAGCAGAGATGGGAGGATCACTTGAGCCCAGGAGTTGGAGACCAGCCTGGACAACTTGGTGAAACTCCATCCCTACAAAAAATACAAAAAATTAGGCCGGGCATGGTGGCTTATGCCTGTAATTCCAGCACTTTGGGAGGCCTAGGTGGGCGGAACACCTGAGGTCAGGAGTTCGCAACCAGCCTGGCCAACATAATGAAACCTCGTCTCTACTAAAAATACAAAAAATTAGCCGGGCATGGTGGCGCACGTCTGTAGTGCCAGCTACATGAGAGGCTAAGATGAGAGGATCATCTGAGCCCGGGGTCGAGGCTGCAGTGAGCCATGATCAGGTCACTGCACTCCAGTCTGGGTGACAAAGTGAGGCTCTGTCTAAAAACAATAAAACCAACGAGGTAATGTATACGAATATGATGCACGGAGCGGCCCTTCCACATTTATTTGTATTGCCATCATCTGCATAATGGGCACAACAGGGCCCTGCCACATCGAACTGTTTAAGCTCAGAACCTTGTCTGTCGTATGTGGAGCGATACCTGATTGATGCTATCATTATCAACACCGTCATCCCACCAATCCGCCCATCGGAAACAAGCTTTCATCGAATCCCATCGTTTTTTCCTTTTTTTGTAAATCTCTTTTCTCGGCCTGGTTTTGTCGCCCAAGTATCCTCGTCAGGCCTCTGCCCACCCAGACCGGGCGCAGGCAGCCCGGGGCTGAGGATTCTCGAGTCTTGGTGGACCACAGGCTCCCGTCGCCCCGCCCAAGGGCCTGGACCGCCTGTGGTCTCCATGGAAACCCGCTAGCCACAGGGGGCGTGACGCCATTGAGACAGACACAGATATCCACCTATCAGATCAAAGTTATCTGGGCTAGGCAAACAAACGGGACCTCCGAGTGGTACGTCCTTAAGGCAGGGCGGGAATACAGCAACTGGCCGCGGGGGCTGTTACTGTCGCTACCAATCAAGAGTCGAGGCGGCTTTGATAGACAGGCATAGCGCGAGTGCGGGCTTTCACCCAACCGGCGGGCCGCTGTCCCGATAAAGGACCAATGAGGAGGCGGCAGGGGTGGGGCGAAGGGGCCGGTTGCTCCGGAAGTGGAGGGAGGGGGTGAAAATGGCGCCCAGCTCGAAATCGGAGCGGAACAGCGGGGCTGGGAGCGGCGGCGGCGGCCCCGGGGGAG